TATTTAAGTCTAGTAAATGACTGAAAGAACAAATAGCTGATTCTACAAATAGAATCCTACAATATCCAATAGTTCATCAAATAAAATAATTTTATATTTCCTTATATAAATGAACTTTGAAGCTCAAACTATTTTCTAACTACAGAAAATATTTCTTAATATAAATGGTCTTCTTTTTTGTCTGTAATTTGAATATGTGGAGACAAATATTCATTTTTTCCAGCCTCCATCAAGTTCATGCTACACACACACACACACACACACACACACACACAAACATATACAAACTTTCTGTAATTTTCTCATTCCTGTTTCTGCTAACATTATCACTATTTTCTCATTTTATTAAGCAGAAGGCCTCAAAATATTCTTTGACTAAGAGAGTCAGAATATTTCAGATTTTGAAGATATGATAAGTATTGGTTACATAAGTTATTTTATACATGACAAATAAGTGATATACATACTCATTTCAGAATTTCTTCAATGACAAGGAACATAGTGAACTAGTGAGCTAGACTTTCAAGGAGACTTTCAAAAGTTAGACTTAAATGGTTATCCCTTCTATTTCATAATATCGACTTCAGAGATGCACAAAGAAATTAGCCCTAGCTCTGACTTACAAATGCTCCATATGTGAAAGACATCCCTGCTCTTAAAAATAAAAATCCTATTTCTCCACCAGTTGGACATGTTCTATCATAGACAGAGTCTCACTTTAGGGCTTTCATCACATTGTCATCTTCCATTGAGTTGACCATACTGTGGAGCCCTCCAGCTCTAGAAATCTCAGTCAGATTTCCTGCAGTAACTCCCTATCATGGAGATAAGATGGTGACATATTTATTATATATATGAACAACAAGCAGACTGAGATAGAACTGAAGAAAGTAATTCCATTTACCATAACCACAAAAAGCATAAGATACCTAGTAGTAAATCTAACCAAAGAAATCAAAAACCTCTACAAGGAAAACTATGAAAATCTTTAAAAAAAACTCACGTTCTGGGATTAAAATAATTAATATAATCAAAATGGCAACTCTACCTTAATTAATCTACATATTTAACACAATTCCAATCAAATTATCAGAGACATCCTTCACATATCTAGAAAAGATAACCATAGAATTTGTCTGGAATCATAAATGACCCTATATTGTCAAAGCAATCCTGCTCAAGAAGGAGGAGGCATCTCACTACCTGACCCCAAAATACACTCTAAAACTGTGGTCATCAAAACAGCATGGTATTGACAGAAAAATAGACATGTGGACCAGTGGGACAGAATAGAGACCCCAGAATTAAACCTCAAAAGATACAGTCAAGGGAACCAGCAGTTAGCGTAATGGCTATGTCGCTGGACTCCCACGTAGTCGACCGTGGTTCACGTCCCGGACCCGGTGGCTTAAAACTCACGCCAGGCGCGTGTGCGTGTGTGCCCAAGATCCCGAGAGGAGAATGGAGGAGAAGGGATTGCGGCGTGACCATCCCCCCTGGGGGGTGATTTCTCGCTTTCTGTCTCTATGTCTCTCTCTGTCTGTCTGGCGAGCGCACGTGCCCTACAGTGAAAATCTCTCCAAAAAAAAAAAAAAGATACAGTCAAGATTTTGGGAAAAAAAAAATAAAGATAAATTTTTAAAATTGGAAAATGAGCTGAACAAACCCTCTAAGGAAGACACATGAACAGCCAAAAGCATATGAAAAAATTGCCGACATCCTTCATCATAAGGGAGATGAAAATCAAACCATGATGAGATATCACCTAACCTCAATCAGAATGGCTAAGATTTAAAAAACCAAAAGTGATAAATGCTGGTGAGTCTGTGGTGACAAAGGAACTCTTCTACACTGTTGGTCAGAATCCAAATTAGTCTGCCAACTATGGAGAACAATATGGAGGTTCCTCAAAGATCTACAAATGGAATCATCATATGATCCAGCAATTCCACTCCTAGGTATCTACTCAAAGGACAGGAAAATTCTCAGTCAAAAAAATGCTTGCACATCCATGTTTATTGTAGGATTATTCACAATTGCTAAGACATGGAACCAACTGAAATGTCCATGAATAGACGAATGGATTGAAAAAGTGTGGCACATGTACTCTATCGAATACTACTCAGTCGAATACTACTCAGTTAAAAAAAAAAAAAAAGATCCTGGAATTTAATAGAAAATGCATGAATGTATAAGACTTACTGTGGAGTGAAGCAAGCCAGGCTATGAAAGAGAGATATTGTATGTCTCCAGTTAATATATACCAACTGTTTGCTCTCTATGCTGGAAACGGAAAGATTGGAGGATACAGAGGCATGGAAAAAGGTTACAGATACTGGATAAAGTGTGGGAAGAGGGTGGAAGAAAGGGGACAATGAGAGGAAAGGATTCAAAGAGAAAATAAAGAGGAAAGACATGGGACACAGAAATGGATGATTATCTGTTGATGATAATGTGTATGGTGTCTTCAACTGGACTGGGGTGAATTGTATTCATGTTCTGTAAATTCACTTTATAACCTGTAGTGATGTACAGTGATTGAATATATAAATTAAATTAGAATAAAATAAAATATTAAAAAGGCAGTGACACATTTACTACTGCTGGTTGAAATAAGTTTGCTACTCAATCTAAAAGGCATATGCTTTTGTAGTGCTTAAATTATTGAGTTCTTGGGCCAGTTCCATGGCCTAATGGTTAAGGGAGCTGGATCCAACATAGCTGATTGCAGTTCAAACGCCCACACTGGAGACTTGAAAAACAGGCCAGACGTGTGCAGGCATGCACAAAATCCCAACAGGATGGGAAATTGAAGAGAAAGGATCGCATCATGACTACACTTATTAGGAGAGTGGTTTCTGTCTCTGTCTCTCTCCCTCTTTCTCTCTCTCTCACACACACTTACTCACACACACACAATTATACACACCTTCTGATATTTTAAAAAAATTATAATAAATGATCATGTTCTGGATGGTTAAAGGAGGAAAGGACACTAAAGTCAGAACCATTAAAGGAGTAGACTTCTACTTCAGAAAGTTAACTAAGTAACTAGGCCAAGGTTTTTAATCCTATCTTATAGCTACTCTAGTCCAAAAAGAAACTCATTAAAGCACTGAAACTTGCTCTTTTCCTATAAAAAAATTAAAAATAAAAAAAAAAAACTTAAAAACTGTGGCACCACTTTATTGTAGCCAAAACTTATTGGACTTCTCCCTCCACCCCTTTCACTACTTTCCATTCTAGTCTTTGCTGCTAAAATCTTTTTATTATCATCTCAAATGTCATAATCTCAAAATACCTCCCTGAACTCTCTAATACTTCAATCTTTATTCTCCTTCTTATTACCTTTTTTTTTTTTGAGAGGTTTTTGCTATAGGGCGCGTGCGCTCGCCAGACAGACGGAGAGAGACATAGAGACAGAAAGCGAGAAATCACCCCCAGGGGGATAGTCACGCGGCAATCCCTTCTCCTCCATTCTCCTCTCGGGATCTTGGGCACGCACACACACACGCCCGGCGTGAGTTTTAAGCCACCGGGTCTGGGACACGAACCGTGGTCGACTACGTGGGAGTCCAGCGACATAGCCATTACACTAACTGCTGGTTCCCTTCTTCTTATTAACTTTTTAAATTTTATCCATAGCAACTATCTGTCTTAATTTATCATAACTAATTTAACTTGTTTTATTTGTTTATTTTTAAAGGGCAGATAAAATTGTATGCAGTTATTGTGTATAACATTATGGTTTGAAGTGTACATACATTGTAGAATGATCAAATCTACTTAATTAACAAATGTATTACCTAATGTAGTTGTCATTTTCTAGTGAGAATAAAATACTGTCATTTGCAACAATGTAAACAAAACTAAAGGACATTATGTTAAGTGAAATTAGCCACAGAGAAAAAAAATATCTCATTTCATGTATATGTAGAATCACAAAAGTTTGATCTCATAGGATTAGAAAATGGATTAATGATCACCCAGAGCTGGTGTGATTAGGGGGAAGGAGAAATGATGAGATGACAGCTAAACAGAAAGGAGGGGAAAGTTCACGATGTACAGGTTAGTGACTGTAGTTAACAGTGTGTTTATGTATTCTTTAAAAGCAAAGAAAATAGTTATTTTATTATCTTCGCCTATTAGAATAAAAATACTCCCAAAACAAAAAAAAATATAATTTTTCTACCATGTCCTCAGTGTGTAAGACAGTACTTATTCAAAAATATTTCCATTTCCATCAAATGTACATGTTGTGATAGTGTATTTTTTTCTTCTACTTTATCCTTTCCTTAGGTTTTTATTTCTTGTGCCTAACATCTGAGTCTGACTGCAATTTTTAATAATACTGAAAACTATCTCTTCCATTTCATTACTCCTTCATTCCTCAGGCTGTATCTCATTTCTCTGGGACTTTCATTATAGCTTCCTAAGTAATTGTCATTCCTCCATCCTTCAGCTCCACCTAGACACCCGATGGCATTTTCAAAGCACCTTTCTGAAGTACCCCATGAAGCTGCTTGGACGTATGAGGGCCTGAGCACATGGCATATAAGAAAAGGTAAATAAGACATTATTTATGACTCAAGTATAATAAGAACTCTTGCATTGTGTCAAAGAAGAACCTGAGGATCAGCTAATATATTGCTAGCCACATTTTCAAGAAAGGCCAAAACACCTCAAGGAAAGAGTTATTTATAAGCAAGTACACAAAGATTTGTTAGAAACAGAGAACCATTTTTATTGAAAATAAGTGACTTCACTGACAGTAGATATTATGGTCACTAACACAATCATAACAGAAAATTAAACATTAAGGGTAATGATTTGTAAAATAGTGAGATGATATCACAAATCTTCAGGCCACAGACATGCCATTCTAAGAAATCTCTAGTCAGATGTCAAAGACAATAATTCATTGAACATAGAAATCTTGGAGTATGGATTCTTAAACTAGAATTAATTTCAGAAGCAAATAATTCTCTGAATATGATGTTTTAGCAGCAAGAAGAATAGCATCTTCTGTAGCAAAGTGGCTGGTAGCCACAGTAGCCAGAGCCATAGCCACAGCCATATCTTGAGCCGAAACCACAGCCATATCCACAGTTGCAGCCACAGCCAGAACCACAGCCATATCTTGAACCATAACCAAAGCCATATCCACAGCCATAACCACAGCCATAACCACAGTCGTAGCCATAGCCACAGCCAGAGCCATATCCACAGCCATAGCCAGAGCTGTATCCACAGCCATAGCCACAGGAGTTGCCATAGTAGTTGCAACACATGTTGTCAAGAGGAGGTAATTCAGGTGGGTTGTGAGAGGATGTTTCTAAAATATAGATGTCTTCTACCTCACTGAAACCTTTATATACTGTTGGAAATTGCCAGAGCATACCATTCATTCCCTGACTGAGCCAACAAATATTCAAGCAACTATCATGTGCCAGTGCCAGTCACTGTTGACAATCAATAATGGCTTGTTTAAAATGTGTTCATTGTCTGGGAGATTTTGGTCTTTTTGTAGCTATTATTTATGTATATTATTTATAAATACAGAGAAAGAGAGGGGAAGAGAGAGAGAGCGAAAGAAAAGAGGTCTATTGCCTTTTTTGTAAAATTCCATGAAAAATGGAACAACTCCTCCTTTAAAGGATATAGAGTATCCTGTTTTACTAAAAGTGATTTGGATAAGCAAAAATTTTCATGGGAAAGTATATTATTCAATGTTCTTTAGCTTTGCATTTCTATTACTATGGGTTACAAAATTTACATATTCATAACACAGATAAATAATAGAATTCAACATCATTTATCAGGACTCCTAACATTTTTTTTAAAGTCCCATGAAAGAGAGAGCAAGAGAGACGGTCACCACCAACAGAGTATTCATACTGTGGTCCACCCCCAGTACAGCCAGCCTGAATCAAAGTCACAGGTGTGCACACTTGGCACATAGAGAAAGGTGCTGGGATACCAACAGGGACGTTGCCATGTGAGTCAGTTCTTACCACTAGGCCATCTGGTCTTATGGTTTCTCGACTTATCATGACTGATAGTTCCTGCAGTGATCCAGGTGGGTTAGATTAGCGGGACGTGATCCTGCAGATGCCCGCTCCATCTTCTTAGTATTTTGGAAAAAATAGAGAAGATACTGAACTGAGCAGAAAGTAGGTGCTATGCAGAACTGAGCAGCATGCCTTGCCATGGTTTTGCCTTCTCTCCTTGGTTCTTTCAACTGCTAGTTACATTTGTTGTGCAATAAGGTACTACTAGAATCACAAATGGGTCAATTCCCGCACAAATGCTTCCTTTTGCACTTCATTTCTGTGACTATATGCAAAATTTATGCTTAAAGACTACGAACTTTCATTTAAGAGGATATTTGTAAACTCTAAAGATGAGTGGTTCTTGAAGCAAATTTAGAAAGACCAAATCTTTTCTGTGAGTTATGGAGAGATACAGAAACAACATCAAGGTCCCCTCTCTAACCAAAACCATTCCCCAGCTTTCTAATGAGTGTGTATCCTAAAAATTTTACTCCTAGAGCTCTAACAGCACATTTTGTTCAAAGTATATGATCATATATATCCATTACTTACATCCCCTCTTCTGACCAAAATATATTCGATGTTCACTCAACTACAAAGAATCCATAAGGTTTTTCCATTGGGTTTTCCTTTATCTCTGCATTTAAGTTAAAAACTATGTACTTACACATTTTGGGGGGACTGCTTTGCTTGCTAGGCATCCTTTGAACAATTCAGCTGAACTCCATAGACACTACCTGAACTCATGACAAGAATAAGATGTCATTTTGCAAAGACAGCTCACATGTGTTTCCTATCCCAGGATCAAGCATCTACACAAAACTAACATAATAGGAAAACAAAGGAAACAAATACAGTGCTTCTCTCAGTACAATCTTACCTTTCTACTGCCTCTACTTTAGGGTTCATCTTCTTTCCATTCTTTTTTTTTTTTTTTTTTTTTTGAGTGTTTTTTTCTTTTAGGAC